CCAGGCTGGTCTTGAACTCCTGACCTCGTGATCCACCTGCCTCGGCCTTCCAAAGTGCTAGGATTACAGGCATGCGCCACTGCACCTGGCCTAAATAGTGCCTTTAAACTGTTGTTTATTGAAGTAAAATTTTGTTTTGGGATTTCCTAATAAAATCAGTAACAAAAAGATAACCTATTACTACTACGATTATTTGATGTTTTTCTGGCCAAGTGAATAAACCTGAAGCTTAAACAAGGTGAAACATTGTTATTTGGAGGCAATATGCTTGTTTATCTTAGTAACACGAAAATGTATTATTAAAAATACAAGAATTAAAAATGAAAGTACAACAAAATCACTGAATGCAAGATAGACATCACTACATTTCTTCAGGTATTCATTCAGCAAATTTTATATGGCAGACTGAGTTCTGAGTTCTGGGGCAAGTTAGAGGTCAACCAAATAGACTAAGTTCCTGTCCTCTTAGGACTTAAAAAAGTCCGAATGGCAATAACAGGCAAACATACAAAAATAGAAGATACATACTATGTAGAAAAGTTAGTTGGGTAGGGAGAAGAGAGTGAGCGGTAATCAGGCAGGATTTGGTGGAAAAAAAAATACCACAACAGCCATAGAATCCAATCTTAGGAAGCACTTAAATGAGAAGTTTTGGCACTCAGTGAAAAAAACTGCAAAACTTACGTACGGTGACTGACTATATTTGAACTATCAGTTCTCAAATTGGCTTATAAATTCTGAAACAAATTCATTAAACATTTTAGATTTTTTTTTGGCTGGATCTTGACAGAAAATTCTAAGTTTTAAGTAAAAAACTAGCAAGAGCAGCTAAATTTTTTTTTTTAATGAAAAGAATAAAGTGACATCCTACTCAAAGAGACACTAAAACTTATGACAGAATTACAGTAGTGTGGTAGAATTCTGATGCAGGAATGGTACAGATTAACATAGCAGAAGAGATAGTTACTTCCGCATAACAACAAACAGGTGCCAGGCTCTCTTCTAAGCACTTTACATATCTCAATACACTTAATTCTCAAAACAACCCCCAAGTATATTAGCATCAACACTTTACAAAACACAGGAAATTGAGAAGGAGCAGCTAGTGAGGTAGGAAAACGTGGAACATAAAATGTCTTGAAAGCTAAGGCAAGTGACAGGAAGTGAAGTGCTTCAAGAGGGAAAAAGTGGTTAGCCATTGCTAGTGCTCCTGATGTATCAAATAAGATGCCTTAAGCAACACTTAAGACCACTGCCTTAAGCAACAAAGAGGTCAGTGTCCATGACATGCTGGAACCAGAGCTTGATTGCAGTTGATTCTAGAAAAAAATGGGGGAGGCAATGTTTGAGAGCATATATAGACGAGTCTTTTCAAGGGATTTGCTGTAGGGGAAAGAAAAAGCAATGGGACAAAACTAAAGGGACCTTGTGGTTTAATTTTTTATTTTATGGGAAGAATAACAGCATGTTTGAGATGTTTCACCTATCCCCTACCCTCTTTAACTGCTTTCACTATTTATTCCTGGCCTTAATTTCTTGATGGTAATTTTTCTTGTTGCATGTTTATAAAATATTGGGAAAAAATCTGCTAGAAAGGGGAAAATTGCTGCTGGAGAAGAAGGAGGGAGAATTGTTGCTCTGATGCTTGAGTAGGTAAGGAGACATAGGATGAAATGCAGATGTGGAACGACTGGCCTTTGCTCCACACACAGACACTTCACTATGGTAGCCAGAGGGAAGGTACCGGTGCAAGTAAATTAATAGGCCAGGACAGAAATGTGGATCATAACTGAATTTTTAGAAACAAATACCAAGAAGTCCTGAACTCTGGAGTTCAAATGGGGTAGGTAGCTAAAGAAGTTAACAGAGAGATCCATATTGGATAGGTAAAACATATTACAGGTTTAGTTGGGAAAGTCAGACCCACCAGCCAAGAGGAAGAGTGTACCTATGGAGCATAAATACTGATCTGCATCTGATATCTCCAATACTTGATCCTAATTGGCACACTATTATCTAAAGTCCTGGCATACCTGCATTTCCAGGAAATCTAATGAGAAGTTTTGAAAGCCTGTAATTCCTAGAAACTTATGAAATGGCTAGAGAAAAGTAGACTATTTTGGAGAATTAATGGAAACTTTTTACATTGCCTCACATAACAAATAAGCTTCCACTTTAAAAAATGGTATTACTGTTTTTACTGCTTATTTTAATATCAAATTACCAATTTTGTGCTTCCAAATAATCTAGGGCTAAAATAAGCAAGTAATCTGAATTTTTTCCTTTTGAGTTCGTATGTAATCCATTTATTTTCTATTTTTAGAAAATCTGGAAAAAGAAGGCAAAGAAAAGGAGGAGAAAATAAATAAGATAAAATTAGTTGCCGTGAAGGCAAAGAAAGAACTAGATTCCAGCAGAAAAGAGGTGAGCTTACTTTAAAAATGTAAGATTCAGGAATCTTATATTTTAAAAAATCAAGAGTTTTTCTATCCATTAAAAAAAAACAAACAAAAACCTCTTTAATTTTGCTTGTATTTAAAACAGACCCAGACTGTAAGGGAAGAACTTGAATCTCTTCGGTCAGAAAAGGACCAGTTATCTGCTTCCATGAGAGATCTCATTCAAGCAGCAGAAAGCTATAAGGTAAAAATAGTCATTTTAATAACAAGTTATAAAAGTTATAAT